GTCTGTCTGTCTGTCTGTCTGTCTGTCTGTCTGTCTGTCTGTCTGTCTGTCTGTCTGTCTGTCTGTCTGTCTGTCTGTCTGTCTGTCTGTCTGTCTGTCTGTCTGTCTGTCTGTCTGTCTGTCTGTCTGTCTATCTCTCTAACTATCTATTTACTAATAGACTAGGCAGCTTAAGTATCTTTTTCTGACATATAACAAAAAAATATTTTTTCGGAAATATAACAAAAGCTAAATATGCAGTAACAATTTTAGACAATTTCAGATGAGTCAATCTCAGATTTTTAGCCATTTAACCATAACCATATTTTCTCTTGCGTATAAGAGCCCTGTTTATATAATGAAAGTCAGGAAACACCCACAAATCGTCAGCATTCTTACCGTCGCCTTCAGTCAAACCAGCGGCAGTCTCTCGTAAAGGTGTCCACTAGTGAGATGCTGAACCACTGGGAGCAAGTTGCCAAAGGTTGTTGAAAAATACAGGCTTTCTATATATCTCTGAATTAACAGGGGAACTAAAAACTTCCTTAATTCTACCAATTTAGGTCGTTGCCATAAGGCTTCTTCTTCTTCTTGTCCTTCTTCTTTTTCTTCTTCTTCTGCTTCTTTTTTTCTTCCTTGTTAAATGGAGAATAATAATAAGATTAGCTCAGTATTTGGATTTCAGGAGTTTGACATTTGTTGTCTGTGTTGGGTTGAACAAAAAAATATATATATTTTTTAATTCTGTAAATAATAAAAGTTTAGGGACACTATTGAAGTGAACACTTAGTGGTTCTGGCTGTTCTAGCCTATTTAATTATCTTTACATTTAATAACATGTCAACATGAATTCCCCTGCTTTCAGAAACTAAAACTTTGATGCGTGTGTGTGGGTGGGAGTGTGTGTATGTGGTGTATTTGTCCTTTATTCAGTAACAAACAGTGTTCACCTGTATAAGAGGTGTACTGTATCCAGTGTTTCTGGTCTTCGCTTGTGTTTAGTGTACTGTCTTTTTTATTTTTATTTCCCTTTTCTTGTTTTCATTGATCTTCCTTTTTTTTTAATTTTTTAGTTTTTTGACTCTTACTATTACTTTTCTTTATCTACATTCTGTTCAGGGCTTCAGAGCAGATAAGACATCATAGACCAGAGCAGAGGAATTAACTACCTGTGGTGTTTAAACAGTAATAATGAGGTGAGGACAGTATAACCACAATGCCAAGATGTTGCTGAATCTTACATTGTGTAGCTTTAAGTTCGTGTCACAGTCACAATGAAAATAAAACAGTAATATTTTCTCACTGATTTACTTTTTAAGTTTTATGAATAAATACTGGAAAAAAATTTTTTTAGTAAGTAAACATATTATCAAAAAATAGGATTTTAAAATGCTTTTAACAGAACACCTTTAGTCGACTTTTAATTCTTATTTTTTTTTATTTGTCATTTTATGTTTGTATGTTTAATATGAAAAGAATCTAAACAAAAAGCCTGCCAAAAGGAGAATATAATTTGTTCTGAGGGTGGACAGTCAACATCGGCTTATTGTCAACCCAGGTTTCAGTGGCTCTCATGTGTTTCACAATGACATGGAACGGTTGGTTTTCAAGTGTGCAAAGGGACATCCAGGCCTCTCACTTCTTATTCCTGATTCCTCATTTTCCAGGACAAGAAACCAGGCTGTGGGTATTATTAGACAAGGCAAGTCACATGACTCAGAGACATGCAAACAGCCAAAAGAACATTGAACACAGTTTTTTTGTTTGTTTGTTTGTTTGTTTTGTTTTTTTGCATGGTGCGACTGTAAAACAACATGCGTAAAGTTGAAATCCATGCTCTTTATCGAAAACTTTTTCACGATCAAAGTTGTATCAAACAACTATAAGGTAATGGGCCTCCATCCCACCAAATGACAGTTCCCCTTTCTTTGGTGTTGCTCAATCCAGACAATGATGACTCAGTGCAGATAGTAATCATGCCTTTTTGTTATCTTCACACACACTGTGGCAAAAAGAAAAAAAAAACTTCTCTAAGTTCGCCACAGTTACACACACTGTGGCAAAAAGAAAAAAAAACTTCTCTAAGTTCGCCATGTTTATTTAAAGCACTTGAGAACTTAGCGACTGGTCAGACTTAAATGTTAAGAGTTAACAATGTCTCTGTTCTATCTGACAGAGATATTAACCCTCAGTCAAAAACATCCATTAACAGTCACAACATCATTGGATAAAAAAGACAATGTAAAATTTACAAAATAAATACAATGGTCAGTTTTAATGGGATTGTTATACTTTGGCAAAATATTTCTGAAACACTGCAGGACAGATTGCAATTCATGAAAGACAGAAAGGCTCTGATTGGTTTCTTTAGAAGTCTGTAGTTTGTTATAGTAGTACTGTAAGCATGCACCAAAAAATCTTGTGCTCTTTTTCACAGTCACATCATATTAGCTGTAATGCAGGCGATCATGAAGACTTTTTAATCATAGATGAGACTCAGAATTAACAAACTGAGAGACCGATTCAAACTCTACATAAGTAAGTACACTGGTGGCAGAGAGTGAACATGTCTTTTAAAGGTTAATAAAGTCTGTCACATACACCACCTTGTGGTCAGACAGTTTATTAGGGAAATGTCATGCACAGGTTCATCACGCATCCAGATGATTATCCCTGGTATGAACACAACACAACAAGTGAACTTATATAACACAGTTTAATCTTCTAATATCACTGCAGTTGGCGTGCAAATTAAAATGCATATAATAAGATTTTTTATAATGACAGTGAGCTGATCTAAGCACGTAAGTCATCGTTTTGTTGCTTCTGTTTGGGTTGATGAATAAGTGTAAAATAAGTAATTACGCAAATGTAACAAAGATAAAAAATAAATAAATAAAGTGAAGCCTTCTATTCACAGATTCACAGAAGAACACAAAGCTTTCACAGTAACATATTAAATTATCAACTTCAAATAATTGGCAATAGCAGACACTATATGTCCAGTCCAGGTCAGCTTAACAACAATGATTTATGTTTAATTGATTAAGAAATTATTGTATATAATACAGGACATTTTTTATGTTTGTGTTTGTAAAAAGAATGAACAATAACATTTGTTTAACAAATACAAAAGGCCAAAAAATATAATTAGACAATTAACTTTGTCCATTCATGAATCCATATGTGTATAC